GACCCCCCACTACACTTTTCAGGGTGGTGAAGGTTACCCTAGGGGTGAAAAGTGAGGGTACCTGTTAACCATTTGGGGCCGGACCGTGATGGCAGTCAGATACGTTTAGGAAAGAGAGCTAGTGTGAATCTGTCCGTAATGAATTAGATTCGCTTGGCTATATGACCGCACTCACGGCACCACCTCGAATCTTCACGGATCACGAGCGGCATGCTGGCTTTGCATGCACCACCAAACGTAGCATAGCCAAGAGAATCTAATTCATCACGTACAGATTCACATGCAATATACACGTCAGACCCAATATACACGTCAATATACACGTCAGACCCACGTGCTACCTTCATTACACGTGGTGAATGTAGGTTGCACCAGGTCGACGAAGCATGCAGCCAGCTTCGCATGAAGTTGCAAGACGTGTTTATTAGCTCCTCAGCTACATGACTGCACTCACGTAGAAACGGTAGAACCTGGACTGGCCTCGAGTGGCATAGCATGGAGCAGTGGACGTGGCATGCAGCAGCTGACGCAGCATGCAGCCCACTCGACCTGAAGTCCCTCTCTCTCTCTCTCTCTCTCTCTCTCTCTCTCTCTCTCTCTCTCTCTCTCTCTCTCTCTCTCTCTCTCTCTCTCTCCCTACAACAAGTCTGCTGAATTACGATCCTTATCCTTGCCTGTTTTCTGACTACATTCCTTTGCCCTGCATTGACTTTTTTTTTTTTTTTCCCCCCTCTTATTTTTAGCTTTGGCTGGTTCTTGACTGTCCTTGGTAGTTACTGATCAAGGCCTTGAGTACTCTACTTCTGCACCCGGATGGAAAGGCACGGGCATTATCGCTGTATGTAGACTGCAGGTTGCCCCAAATGCAGTTACGCGCGTGTTCTACTGTGACGAAGACGAATGGTTTTGCCGTCCTTGAACCGACTGGTACCTCGTCAAATCGTCGTCAATGCATGCCTGTATGCATGCATGCATGCAATTTTTCCCGAGAGTACCCTTGAATCATATGCATGCAATTTTCTTGAATACCCCTGAATGATGTGTTCTTGTCTTCCTTTACTTACTGGCCGTCCGATTGAACTTTGCTTGCATGGGTATCGATGGTCAAGTGGACTGGATTTGAGTCAATTATCTTTTTCTTTTTTTTTTTTCCTTTTTTTGGGGGGGTCTTGTCTAAGTTTTCTCTTCATTGCTGCGTGACCTCTCCTTTCCTTGCGCTTTAACTATGAATGAAGGTATCCAAGCGTCCATCAGCGTCATGACGGCAAACAGACATCCACGAGGTGATGGTGACGGTGTGACGAGAATACGGAAGCTTGCGTCAGCGGCGGAGGTCCAGAGGCGTGGTGGGGATATGCCCGCGGGTTTGGATGGGCAGCAGAGACTGGCATGGAACTCGGCTATGCAGTATGAAATCCACAGAGAAAAGGAGAGCTTACCAGGAGGAGATCGGAGCCTTAGAGAGAATGGCAGCACCGGCAGTTGTGTAGTGGACGTCACGAAGATTGATGCGCAGGCCACACGGATGGGAGGCGATAGTGCCTCTTCTGTTCATCTTGTCAGCACAGAGAATGGTGTTCTCTCTCCGTCTCCTCCTCTTCCTCCTCCTCCTCCTCTTCCAACTTTTTCTCCATTCCTAGCTGCTGGTGAGGAAGGGGATCTGCTCAGCTTTACAGAGAGGGGACCAGAGGGTCTTGTGGCAAAGCCTTTTCTCCCTCCAGGAGGTGCTGAAGGAGGAGGAGGAGGAGGAGGAGGAGGAGGAAGAGATGGAGGAGGAAGAGGTGGTAACACCAGCACCAGCACCAGCACCAGCACCAGCACCATCCAATTGAGCAAAGGCCTGATTTTTCAAGTGCTGAAATATGCACCTGTGAACCTTCGTGACCCCTTCTTGACTTTGCAAAAAATAGCCCCCCAGATAGGCCCCAAAATAGCCCCAAAACTAGTCCTCCGAGAGCTGGTTAACAGACATGCAGCGTTGGTTTCTGGCATGCTTTACTGCTTGATGTCTTGCAGTATGCTCTTGCTGAACAAGGCGGTTTTGTCCGGATACCGTTTCCCTGCCACGAACAGCTTTCTTTTGTATCAGAACTTGATAGGCATGGTCTTGGTTTTGCTAGGGGGCCATTTGGGTCTGCTCGAGTTCGAACCGCTCACCTGGAAACTGTGCAAAGTTTGGTTTCCGGTGAACTGCTTGTTTGTAGGAATGGTGGTCTCCGGCTTACATGCGCTGCGGCACCTGACGGTGCCGATGGTGACGATCCTGAAGAACCTTACGAATGTCATCACCGCGTTGGGAGAAATGGCCCTTTTCAGAAAACAACATACGGCGGGCGTCTGGTCCGCCCTCGGGTTGATTGTTCTATCCTCCATTTGTGGAGGCAGTACAGATCTTGCTTTCGCTCCCAAAGGGTACCTCTGGCAAGCAATCAACTGTGTTCTCTCTGCTGGCTATGCCTTGTACCTCAAACAAGCCATGGAACTTGCTAAGGAGCAGACCCCCTCAGGGACCCTGAGTGAGGTGTCTATGGTGCTTCTAAACAATGCCTTGTCACTTCCCCTGGGCCTAGCACTAGTGATCTTGTCCGGTGAGACGCAAGAGCTGGCAGCGTCACCACTGCTCCGCGACCTCGGGTTCTGGGCTTCTGCAACTCTCACTGGCCTGCTGGGAGCCTGCCTGTGCTTTTCTGTCATGTGGTTCTTGCACTCTACAGGACCGACGACATACGGACTCGTCGGTTCGCTCAACAAAATACCGACCACCGTTGTCGGCGGGCTCTTGTTCCCTGCAAAGACAACATTGCCCAATTCTCTAAGCGTTGGCCTCGGACTGCTTGCCGGCGTTGCGTTCACCATGGCCAAGCTCCAGCAGCGACACTCATAGGCCCGCAGCGTCCCACCATAACAGCTGCCCAATTCTCCGAAGTGTTGGCCTCGGACTGCTTGCCGGCATTGCGTTCACCATCATGGCCAAGCTCCAGCAGCAACACTCATAGGCCCGCAGCATAACAGCAGCAGCTGCTATGCGTTGTCCTCATTTTGCTCGACGCCCGTCGACAACTTCATCAGTTCACTGCTTCATATGCTATCCAGTCACTCTTTTTTTTTTTTTTTTTTTTTTTTTTCCACTCACTCTATAGACGCATGGTAAGAAAAAATTTGACCGTGCAACCATCCTTAGATTTGTTCAATAAAAATCTGCTGCAAATTTGAATTTTTTTACACCCTTTTCATCCTGAGTGTGAAGTGTGCCTTACGCAACCTACACATCAGTGTCCTAGGGCAGTCCAGAGATCTCCGGTCATCGAGTTCAGCCTACGTTGTCAGCTCAGCCGTTGATGTAGTTCACGGCCGATAAGAATCGTCGACGGTCCCTGAGAATGTACAGAAGCACAGTGCCTTGAGTCTAGGCCCTAGGGTCGCGTCTCCGAGGTCTGGGGTCCATTGTTGCTGTCTAGGGCCAGCAGTCGTCTGAGATGCCCCTCCGGTCAAACTCACCGGGGGGCCCAGGGTCTCGGGAAATACCCCCAGAGCCTGGAAAAGTCACCCCAGGCAAGAGGAAAGTCAACAATCAGTCCCAACCCGCGCAAAGTCGACCAAGAGTGAAAGATTTGACGAAAAGTCAAACTCACGTATAACTCTGCCACACGCCACACACCATCCAAAAAATGTGCAGTACAGTTTCCAGATCAAGCTTACAAGCTCGCCGGGACCAGGCACAGGCAGGCTGCGGCACTCGTGGTCTACAGAGTGGAGGCGAACTTTCAAGGAGGAACATGCACTCTAGAGGCCCACGAGCCAGGGCTGCCAGGAGTCAGGATGTCACAGATTGAAAGGAATGAAGAACCTGCCTGCGAAGAAAACTCAGCAGACGGTCTCGTGGAGAAAGGATGGGCCAAGAGGAGCTTCAACATCTACGAGCCTGCAGGTCCAGAGATTTGGAGGTTGAGAAGGTTTAGAAGCTGAGTGACTCCATGATAGAAAAACAAAGTCGAACCAGTTTCAGCGAATACGATAAAGTGGGGAAGGGCAGACAATAATGTTAGGCATCCCAGTATGCACATCAGTACTCGCCTATGGTCGGGCTGTACAGCCACTCCCCCTGCTTGCTCCAAAATTCTCTGATGTGAATCTTACATTGAACAATTGTAACAAGGGACGCTGGGCCCGCTTCTCCACCCCGGAATAGCTTGAGGCAACTGCTCCTACCAGCATCTCAAGCTGTTCCACGAGGCCAATTCTTCAAAAAAAAAAAAAAAAAAAAAATCTGGCCGCAAAGGTCAAGAAATGTCAGCTGTTCGAGGAGGAAACCTGAAGCAGGCCAGACCGAGTCAACATGACAAATAGCTGGCTCTGCACAAAGTCAGGGCATGCAGTCTGTATGCTGAAGCTCGTGCGCTGGAGAAGTCGAGCTTGTGCCAGGCAAAAGTAGAGACACAGGTGCAGCCATATCAGCTGTGGCTGGTGTGAGGAGGCTCACTGTAGAGTTAGGGCAGCCATAGTTGTTGTTAGGAGGGGGCCTGTAGAAGAAGGGAGGTGACTGCCTCCATAGCTGTGGTAAGTGAGAGAGTGGGGACCACAAGGTCGGAAGGTGAGATCTGGCATGTGAGAGAGACTGGCGCTTACCTGTTGACTGATGCTCCTCGTTGTCATGGACACTTTTTCTTCTTCTTCTTTCACATCAAATCAAATCATCAAAGATGCATTAGGCCTTACGATCCCAGAGAATTTGTCTTTGCAAAATTGCAAGTAAGTCGCACAGTCGCGCAATCATCACCCTTGCTTGATGTCAGCTCAGTTATTGTACACAAACTGTCACACAGCCAAAAGATTGAAATCCATGGCGGGTCCAAACTTCGTACCACGTTGGGGAGTTGTCGAGCGCGCAGGATAGCGCAGTCGTACACGGCAGTCTAATGAGTAGTGATCCTCCACATTGTTCACTCACCGGGTGAACAAAGGAAGGGTGTCTCCTTTTGCCAGGCTTTTGGAGTGAAGAGGGGTTTTTGACCCCTTCATTCTGCGACCACGGGAATGGTGTCCCGTTTTATATAGAGGGGGAGACGGTGGGGAAAGGGGGGGAGGGGTGGGATTTAGATTCTAGACCCTGTCGGGGGGTATGGAGAAGAGAAAGAAAGACGGACTGCCCGCCTTCGTAGGATGTACTCAGGTACCTGTCGGGCCAGTATGGTGTCTTTCTTTTTTTTTGTTGTTGAAAAGGGCGACGGCCTCGAGGTATTATCACTACACTGAACGTCACCGAGTGCTTCAGAGCTTATTTCATTCATCTGCTTCGATCACGATTCGGGCAAATAGCTCGTAAGTGTACCATTCAGGCGCATGGGCTGGGTGCTGGGCCAGTATTTTAGCCTCTTTAGGTAAGAGAAAAACACATTGCTTGAGCTGCAGATTCAGTTGTTATACTTGTTGGGTAAGGGAGGCCATAGAACCATTCTTCATAGATGCTCCCCAGAATGGATATGGAGCCAGAACCACACGGTTCTGTTTTATGAAAAGGAAAGAAAGAAAGAAAGAAAGAAAGAAAGAAAGAAAGAAAGAAAGAAAGAAAGAAAGAAAGGATCATTCTTCATAGAGTCAGAAAGTGCTGAGAAAAAAAAACATTGTTACATTTTTTAACAGCTTCTTGTACAGTTGGTACACACACACACACACACACACACGCACAGAGAGAGAGAGAGAGAGAGAGAGAGAGAGAGAGAGAGAGAGAGAGAGAGAGAGA